TCATCATCTTCTACTTTTCTATTTTTGAAATTAGGGTTTATTGAAACTACATTAGGATTTGTGGACATTAAACATGGGCAATAAACATAGACCGTGAGCATGACCAATGAACATAACGATAACTATGGTTGAGTATGAAAAGTGAATATGACAATATGTAATAATTTTGTGCATGGCAATGAAGAAATGTATTGATGAAGTATGTTTTGCAGTGAATCAGATGTAATAGATCGTGTTATAACATTGGCGGAAAGTGCATTGATTATGACAAGTAGTGCAGTAATGTAGAGCAGTATCACCTGCATGAAATGCAATATAATTAATTAGACGTAAAATATTGAAATTATTAAATCTAAAAAAGTTAAAAAAAAAAAAAGAACTATAAATAAATTTCTAAAGTTAATGAGAAGAGAACTAATGTTGGCGGAAGTACAGTGATATGTTATCGAAAGTGAAGTAATGTCATGTAGTAATGTTGAACAGTAATCCATGCCCTGCCAGAGTGCCAGATGACTTCCAGTTGAACTTTTCTTTTCAGTTTCTATTTTTTTCAATGCGTGTGTAATGTGTTTGATTACTTGGGGTATTTTTGTACTTTACTTGTATGACATATGCCCGGCCGATTTTCTCTCGCTTTTTAGTCATACGAAGGAACAAAAAGAAGGCAAGTCATATATTAAGAACTCTTCCTACTTTTGGTAATATACGGGTAATTCTCCCTTAATATTTTTCCTACCACTTGAATTACTTTTATGTTAAATTTTTATTTTTTCAATTCAAACCATTTAGTTTTTACTTTTTTCGAATATTGACATGTTATATTTATGTTTTCTTTTGAATACATTAATGGTAAAAATGACTTTTAACTATTTCTTCCCTTTTCAAACATTGACCTATATTTTGTCAAAAGAAAAACATTGACCTATATCATTTTATAAGGACTCTATCAAGAAAGTTTTCAAAACGAATCAAATTTTAACATAATTATTTATTTATTTATTTATTTATTCATTGGTTCAGTACAAATATGCCAAATTTCTTGTTGATATTTGGAATATTTGACTTTATATGAGTATAATTAGATTTATGTAATTACATTTGCATAAAAAAAATATCCTTTAAAAAATAAATAACGTAGTAATGTTGATTTGAAAATAGAAAAATATAAAAAAATTACTATTTTTTTAATAAGTTAGTAACTTATATATGTATTATTAATTTATCTTCCTCTAAATGTTTAGCTATAGTCTCTGTTCTGAGGCGCCTGACTAGTCCCCGCGTAGGCGCTAGGCGGTGGTCTGGCGCCCCGATTTTCGTCTAGGCGCTCCGACTAATTGGTTTGCCGTCTAGGTGAATTAGTCGACCGCCAATGACGCCTAGTTGTCTGCTTAGAGCGCCTAATCAGCCGCCTAGACCGTCTAAATTCGCCGAACATTACTTTACTTTTAAATTTTAATTTCCTAAATTCGCGATATACGTACTTTAACTTTAGCCATGAATATAAAGAAATGAAGTTTTAAATTAAGAAATGAATATTCGAGATTTAATGAGCCATGCTTACACATGCATGGCTTAAAACTATATATGTTTGTATATATACCTAAATTTTATCATTAATTATATTTATACCATAATTAAGTTAAGTGATTAGTTATCATATACTGCGTATGATTAAATGTGAGAATTCTATCTTTCATGTTTGTTAATGTATATGTATATGTATTTTATACACACAAAAATACAATATTACTTATCATATTTATGCAAAAATATAGATAAAAATTCAATTTATATGTCTCCGACTAGTCCCCGACTAGGCGCCCGCCTAGCCGCCTAGGCGCTAGGCGCTGGGCTGGCGCCCGACTAGCGCCTAGTGCCTTTTAGAACATTGGATGTAGTTCTATTTAACCCTTGTTATTCTAAAATAAAAGGACAAACGTATTAAATCGAAATAAACTCGTTTGACAAACAAGTCTATTATTTTGTTTAGGCACTAACAAAATAAGTATAAAAATGAATAAATGTCGATATTTAAGTTGATATGTATGTTTCTGCTTGTGTGTTAATTATATATAGGTCCATATGAAGTATCACTTCGCGCAAATGGGAATAACTCTTTCTGCATTGGATTTGAGATCAAATTACAATTATAATTGTAAACAATTTTCCGGCCTCCCTAATTTGGAAAGATTATAAGCAATTCTCAGCTTTCATTTCTACAAATTTTGTGATCTGAAAGCAAAAGGGTGTTGATCTATTTTATCCTTTCCAATAATCTTTGTCTGTACCGGAATTTATTTTTAATTTTGACATCTTTTTTGCAGGTCAGTTGCGAAGAATGCATTAGCGAGTTCAGTACCATCGATTTCCCTCCCATTTTCTGGTTCCCAACATAGCCTGAAATCCTGAATAAAAGTAAATATTAGAGTTTACTAACATTTTCTTCTTCTCAGGTTATTGTTCCTAGGGATGTCAAACCTGGGAACTTTCTATTTACTCGGAAGCTAATTAAAGGTTACCTTGTTGATATCAACCTTGACTTGGTGAGTAGTATTCCATATTTCAGAGCATTTGTCTCTTCAATTCCATTCTTCCCCTCTTGGGAATGGTGTAAACTGAATACTATTATTCCCTGAACAGGATATGAACAAAAAAATGCAAGCGCAGGTACATAATTAAGGCGTCCTTGATTTACTATCCTCTAATTATCTTTTAATTCGCGGAGAGGGAAACAACATCAGTTTGGCAGCTTTGAAGCCTAAAGTTTAGCGTTAATGAATGGTTTGGACACTACTAGTAAAACTTTGAATCACTTTTTAATTTTAAGTGGAAAGACCAAACTCAACAACTTATAATATTTTGTTTGACCAAAACATTTAACCTGAGGGGATAAGAAAAAAATTGTATCTTGCATATATGTGTGTTAAGTTTGAGTACATGGCTGCACTACATATAGTGTTGGATTTAGCTGCTAGTGGAGGAGGCTGGTTTACAATTGAATGTTATTGTGGTTTTCATATTCTCTCAAGTTGATCCTTACAGGATTTGAACTATGATACTGTATCAATGGCTTCTGGATAATTAATGTTTCTTCACCAAAGAAAATGCATCCAACTGTATAGACATATATTTATATATGGTAAAACACAATATACTACAGTAAAGATATAAACTTGTGTTATGTGTACTTATTTTATACACATATATAAATGAAAAACAATCATCCCAGTAAAAAGCCTCAGACAGATTCGAATGGAATAACTTAAAATTGTCAAGTAAAAGAACAAGTGACAGTTCTGTCATTAGAATTGAAACTTTGGTGAGTGCAAAGATCAAGAGAATAAGCAGTTTGTTATTTTTATCTAACTAGAAAATGCTCTACACACCATTGGTAATGCTCTCTTTTAATAGATATGTGTTAACTAATTTCATTTATATATTTCTATTACATAGACGATTATTAGGAGCAGCCAAATGTAGTGAATATCATTTTGCATTTAAGATGGCACCTTGTTGAAGAAATTCCATCTTAAAATCGATGTGCTATTTCGGAGTCGTAATTGGATATATGATTTGTTTAATATTAATGACCTTTGATAGTATTAACCCGGCTTAAGAGTGTATTATTAACCCCTGTTTCCAAACTGATATGTGCCCAGGAAAATGAATATCTTCAAGAGGTTTTCAGCTTTTTTATGCCCAGGGGAAAAAATGATGGCAATGAGGTGGGTATACAGCTTCTTCACTTAGAACCATATTCTCAAGAGCAGATAGATAGATGAGAATGGAGATGCTTGGACTAGATACTTTAGTAATCAATCTGTGTAGTATATTTACAATAGTATATTTACAATATTGTATTGTTAGACATGATTTGTGATTACTTTCAAGGTTTTGTGTATTGTTTGCTTCATTGTGATGACTCATGAATTTCCAGTTTGTTAGTTAAGGTAGAGCTCTACATAGTCTTTGATGTTGTAGTATTTACATTCGGTGGAGTCCCTTGGAGGTATATTAGCATTAGGCTAGTAGCCCCCTCTCCATTCTAAACAAAATTTCAGTTTTATCTAATAATAATGAAAAAAAATTATGAGTCGCCTATGCTTTTGAAAGCGATGTGTATAGTAAATGTGAAAGAATACTTTTAGGCTATGTTTGGCAGGCATAAGTCCCTGACTTCTAGCTTTTGTACTGTTCAAATAAGCGAGGTGTAAAGTGAGTTATTGCATCGCTTAAAGAGCGATGCAATAAACGTGTTGCCTTATGCATCGGTAGCTATTGCATCGCATCTAAAGCGATGCGTAAAGGGAGTTTATAGGCCACTCAAAAGGTATTTTTTGTAGTAGTGGTTATTTTACTTTCCCTTGTACAAATTTCATTCATACAATTTTACTCCGTTATTCCACATACAAATCAAATTGGTCTAGCATTACGACATGGAGGGAGTTCAAAATAGCAATGTTGAGAAAATTAACAAAGCATATACTTGTTTGAGACATGAAAATATGATCAATAGATCAGAGTAGTGTTTCAGATGCAGAGATTTGGTTTTAGAACTAATGCTTTTGTTTCGCATCTGGATAATGGAAACAAATCAAACTTTAGATCCATGCTTTTGGCCTGATTGACCGATTCTAGTTTCTGAGTTATGTACTACTAAGGTCTAAGGTAAGTTTAAAGGGAGCAATAATCCAAATTATTTAAGATCACTCTACCTTCCCATACTGTCTTACTGTAGTCTAACTTTCATTTAGAAATTAAGGAGCTCAAACGAAGTAATAGTAACAACTAACAAGATGTTTAAAAGGGAGCATATCACAAAGCTTAAGTATATGTTTTAATTTACACTTAATTAACAACTTTTCTTCTATGTTTTTACTTAACACGTTTATAGCCAAAATTGAAATGTACGTTTCTGTTTCGTGTAGAAAAATGGGGAACAACACAAACCACCCCTTAAAAGAAAGAAACTCGAAAGAAAATTTTGAGCCATCTCAAAATGAAAAGTGACAAGAAAGTTTTGAAAGTAAGTTGGATGCAAAATATGAGATTATGATAGAAACTGGGCATAGCGTGAATTGAATAATTGATAACAAATTCATATGTACAATCAAAATCATAATCATACAATATGTTGTTTAAGACCTAAATCAAGTTAATTCATAATCCAAAAAAATAATTAACTTATGTATGCCACAACCACTGTAATGTCATCAATCTTTCCACCTGAATAATTCAGCCCCGCCAATCTTGAAGCCCTTGAAAATGGCGTTTCCTTCTTCCTATCATACGAATTGTTCAAAGCCATATTTCCCAACAATAACGTCAAGCTCTCCACCATATTCGACCCTCCTCCCATGGCGTACGTCTCATCCACAGCCTCTTCAATCTCGGCCACGTCCACATTGTCCAGAAGCCCATCCGTCCCGGCCACGACCCAATCTCCCTTCTCCACCTTAACTTCAAGCTCTTGGGCCACAGTCAGCCCATCACTGATGTCTTTCCCCAGCTGATACGGGTGGTTGAAACTCCTCTGCTGCACCGGCGATTTGTACACCACTTTCCCGCCTCTTATCACGTAAAACCCGCTGTCTCCCACGTTCACCGCCTTCAGAGTGTCGGTCCCCGCCGCGTGGGTGACGATGCACGCGGTGGAAGTCCCGGCGGAGGAGGTTTTCTTGAAAGCTTTTTCTAGGACCCGCTTAGGGTTTACCGAAGTAGTCGGCGGCACGAGCTCTAAGACTTCTGTCACGTTAATCATCAGTTCCCTCGCAAATTTCCCGGCGTCGATGCCCTTCGCAGCCCACCCTCCCACCCCGTCGGCCAAGGTTGATCTGCCTTGTTGGACGAGGGTGAAGTGGGCGTCCTCTCCACGTGGCCTTTTTGGATTTTCTTTTGGAATATAGAGGGAAGCAGCCGTCATTTTCATAGTTGATACTCCCTCCGTCCCATAATTATCTTCATTCTTTCCCTTTTGGTCCGTCCCAAATTTATCTCCTCTTTCCCTTTTTAGCAAAGGATTTGTGGTTCACAACCATTCTTACACATTTCTCTCTCCTCTGCACAACTCTCCACCACACATTTCCCACTTTCTTAATCTCCGTGCCCAGTCAAAACCGAAGTTAATTCTGGGACGGAGGGAGTAGATAGGGAATCTGTAATAGATAGGGAATCTGTAATACTTCGTAGATAAATAGATAATACGTTGTACGTTTCCTAATGGTATACGGACTTTTTTTTGTGAGGGAATATACGGACTTTTTCCTACGTTGTACGTTTCTGCTCTTTTGAACCTTTTTTCCCTTTCCCTCTCTACACGGACTTGCGGAGAAGTATATGTTGATAATTGATACTCCGTAATATATACTTCTAGGAAGCTTATTTCTATTATTACTAATTTAGGTATTAAATTGGGTCATTAAGAGAAAAAAATTAATTCCATTTTGATCACATGAGCTTTATTTCAATTCCAATTTTGATTCACGTATTTTGGTTTGTCCACTTTTGACACTTGATAAATGTCTCTTGATCATTTGTGATCCTTTTCTACCAATCTTAACTACGAGAAACATTGGCGAAAGAATCATATTTGAGCGAAAACACAATTGTCATGTAATTAAGACGATTAAAGTAAAAAAATATAGACCAATTGTGGAATTGATGCGATACTCGTAGAACTAAAAGTGGAATTTATTCCTAAGAAAAATGAATTTAAGAGTTTTTGAGATTTAATAATTTTTTGTACTTGGTTTTTACTTTTAGTAATATATACTGGCCATAACCTCAACATTTATATTCTCGAAAAAACCCAAAATTTATATATGGTATTATTGTGTTCTATGTATTGAGATTTTATTCAATTTAGTAGATTAGACCTTTTTAAAATTAATTAAAAAGGTATCCCTTATATAGGGGTGGATTTGGTTTATTGTGGTTTGATTTTAACCACAAATAAATACCGAGCCAAAGTAGAAAGTCCATTCGGTTTTGATTCGATTTTCATTTCAAAATTTCAAACCACAGTTTTATTGGTTTGATTTGTTTCGGTCCGGTTTCATTTTTTTCGGTTTTTTATTAAAATTTTTCATTTGGTTTAAAATGATATGATAGTTGGAGGTATCAAACATACTCGTATTACATAAAAAATGCAAGCATAGTAGCAAAAATAAAATAAAAAAGAGAAGAAATAAACGTGTCTTGAGTTATATGAGTATGTAATAGAGATAAAAAGTGTATATATCTTTGATTTGCATTGTTTATGACTAGTTTGAAAAAAGTTCATTAATATATACTACATACGTTCTATGTGATATAGTTGAGATGAATATTTATTTGCTCTATCAATATAAAAACTTTAAGATACTGATACATAAAAATAAAACATTATGACTAGTAATAGTTAGTAAAGACATATTTGGTATACCGAATTTACCAAAATGTTTGGTATACCGACACTTTTTCTACGGTATGATACCGTACCGAATTACTTCGGTATGGTATCGGTATATATTTTGGAAATAACGGTATATCGGTATACCGTCATACCGTAATTCCAAGCCAATAATTTCCTTAAAATTATAAAAATAACTACAAACACAACACCAATTCAAGGATAAATGACTTTATATCCATGTTTCTTGAATTATTTGTACTTTTTGTTGCAGATCGGTGTTATTTTAATTATATTTATGTTGTTTAAATTATTTTAGCAAAATGTGTTGTTATCTTCATATATCGTGTGTTGAAATATCTATACATATTTATAATATTTTTTGTTCAAATTGAATAGAACACAAATAGGTTATCTCATTGGTATTTTATAATTAATTTCATTAATGATTTTAGCATATCACGGTTAACACTGATTTTCTTTATTTCATTTGACATATAACAGTTTGTTATATTAAATCATGATAATTTACCGATACCGTACCTTACTGTACCGAAATTTCGGTATACCGAAACAAGGTATACCAAAATTTTGGTTTGGTAACGGTATGTATTTTTGCATACCGAAAGTTTACGGTATGGTAAGGTATGCGACAAAATATTCGGTATACAGTACCAAACCACCCCTAATCATCATGCAATAAATTGTACTAGTAACATATATACACACATAACAGACATAATAGATCAATACAACTACATTATTATACGCAAATTGTCAGTCATTTATCAACTAAACTAAACATAAAATAAAAATTAATTTTCTAGCACAAAAAAGCCAAAGACGACATTAGGATTAATTAGGATGAACAGTTAACAAATAAAATTTCATATTTTAAGTAGTTCGGTTTATTCTGTCCGGTTTTCAAGGATAGAAACCAAAACCGAATAGAAAAATTCTTTTGGTACACCTTGGTGTACACCCTATATAACCCCCACATTTCTTATTTCTCCCCTCCCAACTTTTTTCTCTCCACTCTCTTCTCTCCACTCCTCTCCCATTTGAATCATACGGGTCTCCCTCCCTCCTCTCTTTCTTCATTCCTTTTCTTCTTCTTCAACATATTGTTCTTTCTTCTTTCTTTCTTCCTTTCTCCTTCATCTTCTTCTTACTCTTCTTCTTCTTTTCTTCTCTTTTTAGGTTTTATTCACCCTAATCATCTTCATTATCTTCATCACCATCTTCTTCTTTTCTTTCCTTCTCACTTTTTACGTTTTATCCACACCGACACTGGTTTACTATAGTGTCTATGTACACAGACGAAAGTTGTATAGATACAAACACTTTTTTTTATACAAGACAACTAACGTCTGTGTACACCGACACTTTTTTCCAACGATTTTTTCACACCGACACTTTTTTGTCTACACAGACAACTAACGTCTGTGTACACCGACACTTGTTTTCCAACTAATTTTTTCACACCGACACTTTTTTGTCTACACAGACAACTAACGTCTGTATACACCGACACTTATTTTCCAACTATTTTTTCACACCGACACTTTTTTGTCTACACAGACAACTAACGTTTGTGTACACCGACACTTGTTTTCCAATTAATTTTTCACACCAACACTTTTTTGTTTTCACAGACAACTAATGTCTGTATACACCGACATTGGTTTCCGTGCAACCAACCTGACAGATCTAGAAACTAATTTTACTCACACCGACACTTTCAATGAAAGTGTCTGTATTTGTGTGTTTTTTGCCTGTGAGAAGGGCAAATAAATGGGTGTACCCCAGGGTGTAACCCGGGGTGTACACAGTACACCAAGAACTATTGAACCGAATAAAATAACTACGGTTCGATTTTTACATTCGGTTTCAGTTTTTTAGCGGTTCGGTTTTATTTGGTTGCGGTTCGGTTTGTTTTAATTCGATATTGATTTGTTGTTTTTGGACTCTGTCCTACCTTTATATGAGTACTTATTTGAAATTTATGTAATATATTACCCCATTATAACATTTTGAAGTTCACATGTTGTCCACTTGTCCTTGCATTTAAGCAAAAAAATTACACTTAGCTTGGTATACCAAATTTTTAAAAATCTATCATAAACTTGAACAAAATCTAAATTATAACAAATTCAAATTTTATAATCTCGCTCTTAATTAAGTTAATTCACTTGGATATATGTTTGAAGCGAAGGTGCTTAAAATACATTCATCTTTATTTTTGTAACATTTAGCATACTGAAGTTCTGGATTTTCATGTGTTTCGTTTAGATGATTACTATACGGAATATGTACTAAAGTTATTATATGTCGAAATCAATTAGCTCGTTTTCTAGTCAAACTGAGTCATGACATATTATCATAAATCTATAATGATTTCCCGTGGTTTCATGACTAAGTAACCGATTTTGCATGAGGAATTTGTCTATGTCGCCAAAATAAATCGCAATGTGAATGGTTTTGAATGGAATTGAGTAGGGGTGGGCATAACGGTTTGGTTTAACCAAATCGAATCGTACTAAACCGAACCGAAACCGGACCGTATGCAATTTGATTTGAGTTTGCTATTATTTTTTCCAAACCGTATTAAACCGAACTGAAACCGATAAAAACCGAACAAAATCGAACCGAACTAAAGAAATTCAAAAAAAACTTCATATATTATTAAAAATTAACAAATCCAATCCAAACTGAACTAAACCGAACCGAACCGAACCAAACCGAAAAATAGTATGGTTTTTGTTTGGTAATAATTCTTCCGACCCGTTCCAAACCGAACCGAACCGAAACCGATAAAAATCAAACCGAAAACCGATATGCCCAACCTTAGTCGGATTACACAATTCCGACTAGGTGTTTTTTATTTTGCTTATACTTTAATCCTTCTTGTCGGAATTGGAGAATCCGACTCCCGTAAATTGGTAACCTAAACTGAAGTCCCGTATTTTGGCTTGTCAGTCCCAAAACTCCCGTGAATTGGTAATTTCCTCCGATCTCTAGACTTCTTAGCTTGTCACTCACTCTCACCCTGATATGAACCTAACACCTAACAACAGATCAAAGAAATACCGAACCATTGTCTTACTCGAAAATACAAATAAGAAAATAAAAAATAACAACTAGAGCTAGTATATAGTCCAATATCAATGGAAAATACTCGTAGTAAATTGTAGTTGGAAGCTAAGAAGGTGGGTAAGTTAAAGACCTAAACCGAAACCGAAACCTAGAGCTCGCTGCCAACCAGGGGCGGTACTAGCCTAGTGCCCCGAGGTGCTCGTGCCCCTGCACTGATTTTATTTTCTTTTTTATAATATGTATATATATTAATATTTAATTAGTTGAGCCCCTGCAGTTCAATCCCAAAAGTCCTTTACTTTAGCCCTTTCCCTTGTGCCAACCCAATCCCAAAAACCCTTCCCTGGGGCAGCCCGCAGCCCAACTCCCTAAAAGCCAAAACGCCAAGACCCCAAATCCCAACTCAAGCGGTCAAGCCCCTGCACCTGCGTATCTAAGTTCAAGCTACAATATAATGACAGAAACTAAAAACGAGTCAGCGTTCAAGGATTCAAGCTACTGCGTTCAAGCTAGAATGCCAACAAATCACATCAACGAGTAGGAACTAGAATAACGACTAGCAACTGCGTCTCTAGACTCTTGGACGACTGGACTTCTGATAAGCCTTTTAATGCCT